CTGTTTTTGTAAAATAGTATCATTATCCTTTGTTTAGTGTTACTCCACTTATTCACTACAGAGAAGCTTCAGAGGAAAAAACAAAATTTGAAATGATTAATAAAAAATAGCTTACATATATATTTTAATAGTGAAGAATTAAAAGGCATACATACATAACGAGATATTATAAGGATTACTTATGAAATACTCTGCTGTAATTATTTAATTATGAACGTTGTTTCTGCAAATTTCAGCAGAGTAATGACATAAATTATTGTGTACACTTCAAAAATTTGTTTTGGGAAGTATGTAATGTATATGTACATAGCATGCCCACCAGATAATCTTTTGCATTTTTATTTTCCGTGTAATGAAATTTCTCCCAAAAAAATCTTGACATATATGTTTGATAAGTTTTATAAAAGTTATAGCGAGACAGTTTAGTGTAGAATTAATTTTAAATTTGTCTCACCAGATTCAGGGAATGTCCATATACATATTATGTAAATATAAATCATTGCCAAAAACCACCCACCCACCCTCGTCATCCTATCCTACCATGTTAAATTTAACATGGGTAAGATAGGAGAATGAAAATGACCCACCCTTTTGTTTGCATAATACATGGACAACCAATTCAATAAGGTCTATACTGTAAGTTATATTTGAAATTGTGCAACGATATGAGAATACTAACATATTAAAACTGATGATAAATTGATACAAAAAATTGATTTACTTCATTACTTAATTTTTTCATACTACAAAAACATCGACTATTTTGAACACTAAATTATTTATAATGAAAATCTTGCGGAAATAAATAGTTTTTGACTTGTATAGAAAAAAATGATCCTATAAAGTCAACTAAAAGTCATTTAAACTATGCAAAAACTCGATTTAATGGATGTGTCGGCCAGGGATCGAACCCACGCCGTTTTACTATGTGAACAAAAATAAAAACGCGTTTCCTCACTGCGCTACCATGACTTGCGTGTTGGAGTAGGTATTTAACTTAACTTTATTTCGTAGAGTGGAGGACCACGGTACGCACTGCACTATTTTCCTCCGCCATGAAAACCTAGGCCCAATTCAATCTTTCAATTCAATCTTTATTCAAGTGACTTCAGCATATAATATGTTTACATATTGATCTCAATACCAGGTCACATACGCGTAAATAAATTAAAATCATCAATATAATAAAAATTGCAATAAATCTATAACACACATTTAAGTTAAAATAAAATAAATCCAGTAGCACAAGCAATCATAATAATAGACACAAATCAACATCCTTACTAAGTTACATCAACAATGAGCTGAAGATAATTAAATAAGGATGAATTCAAAAATTCATTCCGAGTTGCAATTGGCCATTAGTACTGAAGAGTAATCTGAATTTATCCTGGGTCATTCAATTCAAAAGTGGCTATTTTACAAAGAAGATGTCTTATATTACATAAAAACGTGAATCTAACCTCCACTGATTCAAAATTTTTAATTAGCAGGGGGTTGAGTAATTTGGCTAGTTTGTTCATAAGCTTGTCGACATTGATTGCTTTTTTAAGGTTAAACAGTACATTTACATTAGATATCTTAAATTCGGGTACACAGGTTGGACAAGCCCATTGCCTGTTCTTGACTATATGAAGATAAGAGTTTGTTGACATTTCAACATTACATCTGACTTTATGGTAAAAATTTAGACAGTACACGCATTGCAAAATATTTACTCTTTTTTTTGTATCTACGTCCCACTCATCTGAAGTGACTTCGTCTTCCCAGATGACAGTATACATGCTCCCATTGTATGTTAATTTTTCCTGGGTGGCGATAATTTCTTCATCACACAAGTGACAGGTCGGTCCAAACGCTTCCGAATCATCCCAATATTCAGAATCAAGATTCCGGAATATGAGCAGGTAACGGTCTTCGGTCACGTTCCCTTCCAGTATTATTACATTTGTGATGGGGTCAGCGAGTTTGATAATGTCCTGTAGAGTTAATCTGGGAGGGAGGTCCAAAGAAGTCATCTTCAATTCTTTGCTCCTCCTTTGGATTCGTGTCGATATATGTCGCCAAGTAGGGAAAGTAAAGCGTGAATGGTCCTTGGGGAGAGCTGAGGATAGCAAGTCCTGAACTTGGAAGAGTCAAATCTTAATTAGGCACTAAAAGTGCAAGAGAGTCGCCGGCCCCGCAGATACCGGTCATTCACACTCCGCGCCGGTGCCTGAGGGCGTAGAGACGACCCCCCTACACCAACAGAGTGGTGGGTATCCTTTGTGTCGTGGATAATCCTCAAATTATGGCAGATATGTATTAGGAGAGAACGGGCATTCAGATGATATCACAAAGAATATGTCAAAGTCAATTTAGGCCTGTCATGTTTGAAAATCCAAGGTAGTGATTGAGACATCTGAATATAAACAGTAGTAAGGCTGTATTTATAGTAAATTAATATCCAATAGCAAAAATAGGTTGGAATTTTCTCGCCTTGAATAGGCACTTCAAGTGCAAGAGAGCCGCCAGCCCCGCAGCAACCGGTCACTCATACTCCGTGCCGGAGTCTGAGGGCGTTGAGACGACCCCCCTTCACCAGCAGAGTGGTGGGAATCCTTTGTATAATGAATGACCCTCAGAATTTTGGCAGAACTGTAAAGTTGGTATATGCAGCCAGGAGCGACTTATTTTGGGGTAGAGTGTAGTTTTTATATTGAACAGAGTACAGTAATGTTACTTATTTTGGGTAAAAAATAATTCGCAATTTAGAACACTTTGGGGAAAAATTTATCAATCAAATTTATGATAAAAACGATCAGGAGAGAACGGGCTTTCAGATGATATCACAAAGAAAGCTGTGCGATAACTTTGTAATTAATTATCGTAGAAAACAATTTAATAATATGGGAGAGGCAGTTTAGTTGCTGCCTCTCTCTCTGCTATCAGCTTAAATTCACTCGTATGTTATTAGATTGATGGCCCAAATTTTAATTGTTTTTATTCTATTGTTTCTGGCCATGGCATTTAAATATTTCACATAAACATTTGACAAACGCCAAACAACAATAATATTTAGGTTTTAAGGCCATTCATCATTATCACAGTGGCGTAATGCCCTCCTGAGTAGTTTGTATGTCAAAATCAGGATGCCTTAATCGTTCATGAATCGACTGAAATAGTGACTTATTTTCATTTAATTCCTGATTTTATGTGTGTATCAGTACAAGTACATACACACAGCGATAATGAAGAATCACCCAGCATTAAAAACCACGAGAAATCCAGTAATAAATCAATAAAATTTCAACACCACCACAGAATACATACCAATCCATACAATTGAAGTTCGATAAACGCACGTGACTTTTAAGTTTGTTAAGTTTGTTTCACTCTAATAATCAAAGGGTTGCATTAAAACCGCTGTTAATTGGCTTAAATATGTGCTTCTTTATGAATGCCAGTATGCACAATGTTGCTTTAATGTTTGTAGTTTAAAATTATGCAAAAAATCCTGTTAAATGGTAGCACTTTCAGGTACATCCTTCTCATCATGTAGTGCAGATTTTTATCTCTGGACGAGACAAACAACAGCCAAGATGTGCAACAAAGTATCTAATCAACTTCTTTCAATCGTGCAATAACATGGATCTGAATGTACACAACCTGCAAACTGGTCATGAACATGCTTACGTTGTATGTTTTCATCATCAAAACTAACATAACACGATTAATCACCAAATCCGCTTTAAATTAATCCTCTTCTTCATTCACGTTGCCCAACAGCATTAAGCACACATTCATATATAGATATTCAAATTAATGCGACGAGACATTTCAAATCGGTGTTGATAATAAAAAAACTTGCACTTCCACAGTTTGGTAGTGTCGCAAGTGCCTTAACTAATCACGTACATCGTCACCCAGGTTGGCAAAATTCACCCAGACCTCTCCAAACTCTAACCGAGTTGAGTTCATTTATTTTTAAGAATCGAATTTTACAGAAATTTCCCTTAAATTTCTAAATATATCCCGCATACATCTAAAAATTATATCAAATGTCGATTAAACGAGATAGTCGCATTATTATGGTACATACCTTTTACCTGATTGATTATTCATTTTTGTATCAATAAAATAGTAACTTGTTTAACGACACTGCAAATATTTAGAGATTGGTCAACATGATCGTATTCGCAAGTTTATTCACGACAATTTTATCAAGCCCCACTGAATCTAGACATGATTGGAAACAAACGATCGAATCTGGATCCACAAGGCGTTCTTTAAAAGGTGAAAACAATTATTTGCATGTACTTGTAAGTCTGAATGTGCACAAAATTACAGATTACATAACCACGATTAGAGACATGTAACTTGAGTTTAATTCAGTTAATTATTTAGTCAACCATTGCTAAATTAGATGCGGATGGCTTGATTATTTCCATACATATTTATTTACATTTCAGCTTTGGGGATGACAAGATTAAACTTTCACAGTCGCCCATCTCCACCAAAAATTTGGTAAGAAGAACGAAATCAATTTATAATATGCAGGCAAATTTTCCCCAGTTTGATAGCGACCCAGACTCCATAAATACTCGAATATATAGAAATATGCATAAGCCTTGTAATTTTCAGTGTCCACGTTTTCGCTGTTAAAGATGAATACAAATAAGTATGTATGTGCATATATTTATATATTACATCTAATACAATTGTTTAGTTTTATATCGTCATAGTTTTCAATATGCACATATTTTCGCACGTTGACTAAAATGATGTGTCTAAAATTGTGCAGAAACTATTACATTAAGGATAAAATAAATTGTAATTTTATCCATGTTATAAATTGCAACGGGGTTTAGATTTGCTCAATGTGTTTCGCACAGATCTGTATGTATTACTTGGTGCATACAGATCTGTGCGATGACATAATTCTTGCTTGTAAATATTTAGATAAGATTGTACAAATAATTGAGTGGTTATCTATCAGTCCTGCCACGTAAGCTTGGACCCAACCCAATTGCAAATTCACATAATTCCCCATATGGAGTGAAGCACACACCCAAATTACTCGACTATATTTTGTGTCACAAATTTAACCGTTTCTTTGCATAAAAAATGGCTGCTTCCTCACCTCCGCCGTCAACTTTGACATATCAAACCTGCCTCGGCCATGGTGCATTTGGCATAGTTTTGAAAGCCGTCGACCAATCACTTATTGCTTCCGCGGTGAAGTTCATATTTCCATCCAGCGAGGACCAAGAGTCGAAGGAGCTGACTCAAATTTCTCGTGAATGTAAACTTTCCTCAGAACTGAAACCCCACCCAAACATTGTGCAGGTTTGGGACGTCACGGAACGTAAATTCTCGCTTTCCGAAATCCAAGTTATATTAAGCGATTCGGTTTTAAAAAACGAAGAACAAAGAAAATTAAAAAGCTACTACGTCGATAAAGCAAAGCGGAAAAATAATATATTCGGAGTTCGAATTCAAATGGAATTATGTGGGGAAAATTTAAGGACATGGCTAAACCTTCCACATGCTGTTAATGGTCCTACTCACAGAAAATATCAAGATGCCATAATACAAAATCTCACTTCCGGATTGGAACATTTGCACGACAACAAAATTATCCATCGTGACTTAAAGCCGGAGAATGTAATGTTCTGCAATGCGGGATTCGAACTTCCCGTAAAAATCGGTGATTTTGGTCTTTCCCGAAACATCCTTACCGCAGAGCGTACTGCTTTAACAAGTCAGGTCGGAACGAGAGACTACATGGCGCCAGAGGCCTTCACGAAGAAATACGACTTTCGGGCTGATTTATATTCCTTGGGGCTCATCATCTGGGAGGTCACTGAGCTGATTCCGTTTGTTAAAAGGAGACGCTTATTCGACCGCCTTGTCAACGGCAATGAAGAAAATTTGATTCAATCTAATGCAGACATTGCGCAACTAATTTCTCGTTTAACGAAACGACGGGTAGAAGACAGGCTGAAAAATATGGACGAAGTAACCAACCTCATGAAGAAGTGGAAGGCACCGGAGATTGGATTTTATCAATGTGAATTAAGCACAATTTCAAGAGTTAGTCCTGAAGGAAGTCAAGTTTTAGTTGCCAAAATTAGCTCGGAGCTACACACCTGTTTATTACAAGCAACAAGTGGAATGACAATCAAGCTGTTGGATAACGAATACGTGGGAAAATTTGTTCTTGATAAAGATAATATTACGCTAATTGGAGAAGGAGTAGCCGTATTTTTTAAGCGCGGTTTGGAATCGGGAACTTGTCTTTTTGTGTCGGGAAACCACAATAAAATTTCCAACATAAAGTTCTCCACAGCAAGTAGCGTACGAGTGTACCATTTAGACCTTACTGGAGATCAAAACTGTGTGAAAGGTGTAGAATTTACGGGTGGATACTGTGGCATTGGAATTTGTGGGAGGAAAAACATATTACAAAACATATATTGTGCGAAGTGTGATTATCCAATTAGTGTCGTAGGATCCTACAATATTATTGACGGAGCGGAGTTGTACTCCATTGCGGGGATTAGTATGTACGTTGCTAACAATTCGGAGGCAAACATGATTCAGAATATTACTGGGATAAATATGACACGTGGAATTGATTGCTGTGGGAAGAATAACAACTTTCATAAAATTCATTTCACGAGCAAAGACAATTACAAACACGAAGTAGGCGTATTGCTTAGAACTGATGGGAATTCTAACCACATAAAAAATCTAACTTGCATTAATTATTCCGGACAATATTTCGACCTAGAAATTCAATCGGACCGATCCACCGTCATGGGTTGCACGTGCAGAAAAATCTGTGTGTGGGGCGTAGATGTTACAGTTACTAATGTGGATTGTGATGAACTGGTCGTAGGAAAAGAAGCTGCTAACGCCACCTTGCGGAATTGTCAGGCTAAACTGCTATCATTATGGACATCCGTGGTACAGATTGAGTGTCGATTTAAGAAAACAGTAACGAAATGATTGATTCTTACGTTTAACATACTTACAATCATCTTCACAATAATTATCCATGTCAACTTGTGAATTACTATGGTGTATAAAAGAATAATAGACCCTCGGACGAAGTTTTGAGTTTTCTTCCCATACGCGAAATGTAAACTCCTAATCCCTCGCTGTGTTAAATTATGGCTTAGTGAAAAATTGTAAACTCAAAATTTTGGTTCGTCGCGCCAATCTCAGGGGGTTGCTCAACACCCAGCAAAGTACATATTTTCTGAATCTACTTTTTGGTATCTATCGAACGGCGTAACAAGATTTTTATAATTTTCATTGATAACAATTTTGTAGCCACTTCTTAAAAAATTTGGCCAGGTTTCTGTTATTCTTTAATCAACCACAGCTACTAACAAATTATTTTATGGAATGAAATCGTTAATTTACAAAATAAAGTATGCCGGGGAAAACAAAGTCAATGTAGGTTTGAAAACGAAAAAAAAATCTGGGTAATTTTATTAATAGTAAGATTTTACATTTTGTTCACCGTGATGGTCCTAAACTTTGATACTCTTATTGTCAGGTTTATTGTCAATTGAGTGGAAACATGGCTGAACATATGTACTCAAGTAGTATGATACTTCCCGATATTTTAAGGTTATGATTCTTAATGTGTAACTCCTTTGTAGTCCGTTTTTCGATATACATACATTTGTAATTTAGTAATTTTTAATAATGCGAACTATGTGGTACACTACATTGCTAATGCTAATAAACTTAATTTTAACATGAAATATGTATGTACCTTGACCCCAGCGTACTGACAAGATGACTGTACCATTAAACAAAAAAATTAAAAACATATATTTAGACAATGAAGCTATAAATGAACAGCTGGGCGAGCGAAAGTGTTGGAACCGAATTTTTTGGGACAGGTCTACAATCTCATTGTGAATGAAAATTAATTAAAAAGGAATGAATGCATAAGATCGAGCAAAGATAAACTAGAATAAATTTTAACATGGACAGAAATGTCACTGATTGTATGCACTATTTATATATGTACATACATATGTCTAATATACACATTTTAGGTTTAACATAATTATCAACATGTTTTTTGCCTTCTTGATTAAATAAATAGATAAATACATCAATACATATTTCCAGTTTTTTTAGTTCGAATATGTTCATAATGTATTGTAAATGTGTACATAAATACATACATCAATGGATATATGTATCCATTGATGGTTGAGGATTTATGCCAAAATCGGCTCCCAAATTTCAAAAAATTGCTAATAGAAAAGTTAAGCTAATAGAAAAGAAAAGACACAAGATTGCTGCCGAAAAAATTTTTCGTACAAAAAATGATACAATTAGATATCCATAGAACCTACTTTGCTGGAGATGAATCCTTCCTACAAGGTTTGATTGATTCGGCGGACAATTTGAAAGGTTTGAAAATCATGGGAATTTTTTACCCGGGTTTGACGAAATGTGCAAAAACGTTAAGAACTTTTAAATTGGTGTCCACAATACCGAATGATGATGACGTGAGAAGGGACAACAGGTAAGTAAAGAGGCTTCATTAGCAAAATTTAATCTAGAGAGTAAGGCGTTTACTCGGTCTCAAGTCTGGTGATGTTGCCGCCAGTCATGTGCCAATTTACCTACGGTCTGTACGCAAATTAGCTCCCACTTTCCCTCGCGCGCGGTTTGTGTCTAGTAAGCGACTGTATAAAAAGTGCAGTTTTGAGATTTCGCCCCATAAGCGCAATGTTATAACTTTTTAAAATACAACTTTTCAGAAAATCACTGTGGGCGTACAAAAAATCACACAGAGGTGTATGACATGTCTAAATGTTCGGAATTACGTCTTCTTTCGATATAAAAATAAAACCACCAAATAACAAAATTCTTTCTGGTAGTTGAAAATGAAAAGTGAGCTATTTTTGAAAAAGTTGTGACCTTTGACCTTTTTTAAACATTTCGAAAATGGGACCGGCATTCCTCCTAACTCTTTCTATTCTACTAACCTGCAAAATTTCAAATGTCTATGTCCACCAAATTGGAAGATAAGGCAAAAATTTTGTGGTGTGCAGACTTATGCTGCCTACTCTATGCATGTGAACAAAATACACGCATATTTAAATTATAAGTGGTTTCCACAGATGGCTAAAAGTTATGTAATGCATAATACATTTTTGCGATTCGGATTCAGGATATTCTTGTGACGAGATACGCAAATAAAAAATTTGGCAGCTATTATCAACGTATTCTGTAAAATTTCCACAAAATCTATCTACTCAAGTACTTTTTGACCTGTGAGGAATATTTATGTCACGATGAAATAATCAAGAATCCATTCCACCACATTGAAAATATTTTTTAAAGAGTTTATTTCACACACCATTCGTAACCCTAAATACGACATGATTCGAAATAATAAGGGTTCCAACCAAGGCGATGTACTGTTTTTATACTTCTGATAAGAATTACACCAGATGATCCGAAGTGATCCAAAAATTTAAATGTTTCAAAGCTAAATAATGCGGGATTATATTTCAAGCTGTTTATCAACTGGATAAATTCCCAGATTCCTAAATTTTAAAAAACCCAAATGCTTTGTCACCTCTCATCACCCGACGTATGTAATTCTTACCATAACTAAATACATAAAAAAACCTGCACGTCGCCTTAGTTTTAACTAGTCGTTCCCAAAAACACGGACACGGTACGATGCACAAGCTATCTTGTTTGCAAATATCTGCCACATGTCTGTATTTCCATTGGTTGGCATGGATTTCAAACAATCTGAACAGAAGGAACATGTTGCCTCGATCCACATCAATACATCGCCTTGATTATCCCAATCGACGCCTGCTTCATTTACAATTCTCGTTATTAGAACATTTCCATGGCGCAAGGTGTAGGCAACTTTCATGTTCGTATAGTCATTCACAAAAATGACGCAGCCGAAACGGATGCTAAGATGGTCGTCAATATGTCCATAGTTCAAACTGCAATTATACATATGGTTGATTAAAAGTTTTAAAATTTGACATGATTTTTTTCACACTGCGAATTAAAAAAATTAAATCCCCCAAAAAATGTTACATATAAACTCAAAAGACTATTTCAAAACTATGCTTGTTTCTAAATAGTTGATCTATCAAACTGTCTGAGTGGAACATGGTTTCAGTTCGCATTGTTGGTAATATTTAAATATGAAGCTTGCAAATCGTCCCCAGTCGGACATAAACCTTTACAAATCCGGTAATAATGTTTTACCAGGGCAGAGTGTGTATTTATGCATGTATACGTTTACTACTCTACTGCATAAGCTGATATTTTGAGAATATTAGATTTACATGCGAATTGAAGTTTTACGAATGAACGTAACATCCTGGAGTGTCGCAACGGTTCCATTTTCATGATTTATTTCCGTTACGTTTACTTGGTAAGAAAACTGCAGGGCGGTTTCTTGCATCACGACCGGAGTTATGATTGGGTGTACGATTTCACTTAGAAAACTCATCGCTGCCTTAGCAATGATGAAATTGGAGTTTTTAGCCAACCCAACGATCTTGTTGGCCACGATGAACGGTTGGGCGGTATTATATAACTGGCCGTTGGCAAGAACAGCATGGTAGAGTTCTTGGTATCCCCAAAGTTTCTGAAAACAAAATCCATATAATTTTTAATGTGGGAAGATCACAGTAACCATTTTTTGAAACATTTTTTGTCCGATGTGACAGGAAGTTTGTGGGTAGAAGATTGCAACCTCTCAAAATGTACTTTTAACGACAAATACGTACGCAAAATACATACATAGATATGTAACTCGAATTATTTTTTCTAGATCAAAAACACTTTAAATCGTTAGAAATTAAAAATATAAAGCAATTGGCTCGTCGATTTTGGCTGGCTAAAAAATTAATCCCGAAATGAGATTGAATTTGTCAATTTTACTCACAATATCGTTCTCAAGTAGGGAAAGAAAATCCAAAAGATTGAAGATATGATTGACATCTTTCAAGATTTCGCAGTAGCTTAACGTCACAATGGTGGATATGACAGTTGGGGCGTTTCCCTTCTTAAAGACGTCATTTTCGTAACGGGGCACGGGTCCGGAAATAATTTTTGCCACAATGTCCACAATTTGTACCTCCTTAAGGCGACTTTCTATATCCGCGATAGTCAATTTTAAGGAAAAAAGGCTGACACACACCGTGCTTACGGAGGCGATTAGCCCATCGATTTCCGGTTGGAGTTCGTCAGTCGCTAGAATTATATAAAGCTACAATTTGAAATTTTCAAACTAGGTCTCAAAAAATGTACTCAATTTCCGCTACCAAATTGTCAACTAGTTTTGTAAAATTTCTGTAAAAAAAAGAGTCGAATTTTCTAGGATTTGAAAATTAAATACCAAAAACATCTTAAAATGTGGTATCAAGAGACAGGATGCTTTTTCTGATAAAAATAAGTTCTGGCAATTGTTGGTACCAACTTTTACAAATCTTTACCATTTTTCGCCACGTTGTCAAGGGTTGTGTATAATTGAGCCAATTTTTTCTGCACGAGCGAAATCACGGCTCGCAATTCGTCGAGGTTACTGGCTGGGTGGAGAGAAGCGATTTGTCCTTCCATGTCAGCCAGGATATGATTCACTTCGTCAATCTGCTTCTGTATATGACCATGCGGATCGAAAGCCTGGAGAGATCTGTGAAAATATTTAAATTTCATTTTAAATCCAGCTTTAAAAGAACAATTTAACAGTTGTCAAGTTGAAGACCGAAGTACTTAAACATGTAAGAAAACGTCATTTTTTTTTACCAAAAATGAGCCAACGCAGGCAAACAAATCATATCCTTACATTTGAAATTTGCTAAAATTTGTAAAATAAAAATTGTGAAATTGTATTCAAAAATTAAAATAATTCCATAAACTTTTACAAAATAAAAAGACGCTCTTGCTTTGTGCTTCGAAACTTTTAGCCTCAGAAATTTTTGGAAAATTTTAGCCAACTAATTTTTTTTCTGTAAAACGTTACCCACAATTCTCAATGCAACCTAATCATTCCTAATTTCATGGTCCGTAATCCAGCAGAAATCTTGAGAACAGCATGATTCATCTTTTCATCAAAGTTATCACAATATGTTGAATTATCTGGAAATTCTTGTCGACAAATGGTCCATATTATTGGTCCCGATGCAGATGTTGGATTCGTCCTGCAAAAAATTACCAAAGTTGCATTATTCACAAAAAATGCAAAAATTTCATAATTCCAAATAATTTACTTTATAATTTAAAACTATATTTTACCCGATCAAAATATTAACACCACTTTCTTGCATGGCCATCCACGAAAAGATTCCCGTGACGACAGCGTTCGCGTAGAAACTTATCACACCTCGCAACATTTCATGCACCAATGACTAATAAATTTTATCTTTTTCAAAAGAAATACGAGTTGCGATTTAACAGAATTTGTGCTACTAACCGACTCCAGCAAAGTGAGTCGAATCAAGTCTATTTTATTCCCAATTTTTACCTAACTCAGCATTTCTCTCAGCATGGATATGAACTTGACAAATTGAAGGAATAAGAGTGAACTTCATTTTACGTACATGAGTTGAATAAATAGCTTTCTTTATGTCAGCATTTTTAGCGGAATGAGTGATGGAATCATACAATTAAGAAATGAATGAATTCTGTATGTTAAGTAAGTTTTATACATGAAGGCGAGAGATAAACTGGAGATTGATGACTACATAAATCTTCTTGCCATGCATGAACGTACTGCTGCATGAGGGTAATACATACATATGTACACACGAGTATGTGCACATTTAGATAATAAATAGGTATATACACATACAAATAATGACTGGATGAAGATCGAGCATATTTATTTATTCACGAAAACATGTTATTTAATTTGCGTGATTAATTTATCCGAATGACATAAATTATCAAGTTAAGCAGTGGTGTCTTATTGCATTCATACATACCTGAATTTGCACATATCAGTGCAACAAATGTCATTCATACATAATTAAGGAATAATACTTGGGCAAAAGATATGTATAAATCGCTCAGTACTTTTTGTGAGATTGCATTCCCTCATATTAAATAAATGGCGTGATGCTTGTTCAGCGATATTTTGTTAAAACTTTACACTGCAAAGACACAGAAGTCTTGATTTAAAGTGACAAGGGAAATATTTCATACTAATTTTGCAACAAATTATTATGTATATTTGGGTCATCAAGTTTGATTAAAAAATGATTTGAAATTCGATTATGATTCCATAATCAACATCCACTTCAAAACTTTGATGTGTATAATTATGTAAATGTGTAGAAAGCTGACTAAGTTTAAAAAATATATTTATTGGAAGCCTTCCTACTAAACGCGAGTATAAATAAAACAAATGCAATGTCAAAGGTTCAATGTAAGCTTGATTATTAAAAAACAAAGTAAATATCCATGAAACGCACAGATGAATTATTACAAATAGAAACGTGATGGCTGAGAATAGGTTTTTTTGTACGTTTTGAGCATAGGTAAAAGGAGAAACATTTTTCGAAATGATGTCCACTAATGAAAGCACTTTCTCGGACTCACCCACGTATGTATGTGTGTATGTATATGTGTACTCTTAGAATAAAGTACGATAATAATTACCCATTCTCCATCTGCACCACTTTCACCGATACATTTATCGATTACACCACTCCAAAGTTAAGTGGAAGAATAATAAAATACCCAATTCCTTTCTTGCTCAAAACTGGTAACCTATTATGTACATAACTGGTCGGACTAAATATGTATAGGAATTTAAAACCGTTTCGGCAAGATGTGTAGTGTTTATCAGTCGGAAAATACTGCAGGCAATCAAATGCAATTTGAAACGAGAAATAATTACAATTATGAGACCGTACGGCTCCTAAGTCCTCGATTCTCTTAATTTTTGCGAAAATTTATCTAGGAATGTATTAATTACTGTAGAATATTTATTTTCAAGCCATATTTTCCAGCACTTGCATAAATACCGATATTTACGAATTATGAACTTCTTATGCGTAATACATATTTGTGAACTTTTTTTTCGTTTTTTCAATAGAAGCATGGGAAATTAAAAAAATCAAAATCAAGTAAAGAGTCAAAACCATTCATCAAAATTTGTTCGGATTTCTTTAATTGTAAAGATTTAGAATAAAAATTAATACATATTAAATATTACGTCATGATATTAGCGGCAGGTTTTTAGCCAAGAAATTACTTGGCTACAAATTACTTGGTTTACAAAACTGGTCCTTTTAATATGTACATAATTGAGAAACATTGAATACATAAATATTTCCAGTAATTATTTTTAAGCATAAAACCCATTTTATCTGCATTTGTCCATTCCACTTACCTAATTATAAAATTCGCAAAAACTTAATTCTTTAATGCAACATACGAATGTCGGACATATTGCACCATCAAACCATCAGAATTATTTAAACGTTATTCACTTGAAATCTGTCTTTTTAAATTTTGTTCTCGCTAACCTTAAATTCAAGCAAGGGTTGTTTAATAATATACGTTATTACTTGGTTAATTAATTTAGTTAGTTAATTAGTACGTAAGTTAATCTTATCAATGTACTTTGTAAACTCGAGAAAATATTACTAGTTGTTTTATTTGATTCATACAGGTGCGAAGCGTATGCTTGTAAATCCTGAATCTTGTAATCGCTAGTTTTAGTAATTGAGTATAATAAATGCTTCAATTCAATTCAAAAACCAATTTACAAATAAATTCTATCCGCCAATTTCTTCTGTCTTCGTGACCGCCGCACGCAAAGTGCTATCATCGAGATTAAAATCACAACAAAAAATCCAATCACACAATAGTCGCCCATCGTCATCTCCCTATTTTCTACCACGTCGCACGCCAAGTTGCACGTATGTCCAGTGTGGCGGCCTCCTCCTACCGGGGTGAAAATGGGAATGAAGCTACGCCCCATACCGCCCCGATTTATGAGCCCTACTCGATGCACAGATCCAGTCGACTGTCCACCCGGAAGTAATATTTTTCTAAAAGAAGATGACGATCTCGAACTGGACGAGGAGGATCGACCTCGACTTGATGAACGTCCCCCACCACGACCACCACCACCTCCCTTCATCGCCATGACGACGGGTTCATCCTCCCCCCAAATCAGACTTATTCTGTCCTCACTTTTTTCAAGATCAATCACATTAGTCACGATAACTTCGAACTTGGCGCGACAAAGGGCAAGAAGTGCACATGTGTCGACAGTTGACACATTGTGGGCTACAAAATCGTCTAAAAATTCAAAAGTATTAATTAAGAACCAAATGGACGGACAGAACATTGTCATAAAGCAGTACTAACGACATAATTTTTAATAAACCATATATTTCACGTGCCTATTAGGATCGGGTCCAGATTTCGAATCAGTTGGACACACTTTTCCACATCCTCCAATTTCCCGTGGAGTTTGCATGCGTGCTTGAGCAAGGAAATCTTGTCAGTCTGCATAAGTAGGGTCAATTGGTCACTTTGATACATAAATATGTACACAATATTAGCGATACACAACCTACTTCATTTTCTTGTCTCGTATTAATCTCGTCCTGACACATTTGGCATTTGTCCATCGTCGGAATGATGACATCGTTCCATTTGCAATGTATGCAGTACGGGACCGTTTGGCAGGCTTCGGCTTGGCTGCAAATGGCAAAATTCACATCAATGAATGATTATAATTTTTTGGACAAAATCATTATTAAAATAACCCATTAAAATTACAAAATATTTAATATCGCAACTTCAAATCGCAAATTATGTAATCCTACCATTCAAAACTCTAAAAAAAAATCCATGTAAATTCCATCCCGAATTTGTGACGATATTTGCACTCAAGACAACTAAATATGTGTGCTCATGCCCAACAAATTGCAACAAACATGCAGATGAATTTCGAATTTCCGATAGCAACAAATATTTTGTTGGCAAATGTAAACATGTATGTACTTAACTTACCTCAATGATTCGCATAATTCTTCCAACCGTAGCTTGCAAAAATAGCGTGGTCCACTTATTTCATAACCTGCTTAAGAAAAATTGTCCGGATTTATATTTGCAAGATATACAGGACACTTTTTTCACCAAAATTTCAAGAGTATGTGTAACCTTTAAGACAAGAAATGTATCGGTATTTCATACAAAGTACGGTTAAAATCGCAGTCAGACTAATATTAATATTTACTCTGTACTTCCTCCCTGCATCCAGCCTGGTCATTTTAACGGGACACATGGTTCCCATACCAACAGGTTTTAGAAACTGAGGATCAAACAAGTGCAGTGCACGGAGAAAGTAGTGAAAGAAGGAAGAGAAAGTGGTGGTATGTATGTATTTATGAACGTGGGCGAGAAATCGATCCACCATCGGAGTGAGTAAACCCGTCAACGGATTGAACGGCATGCACATCGTCACCAATCGTAAGTTGCACGTAGTCAATTTTAGACTAAACGCAGCAAAACTTTCTCCACACACTTTCAGCTATGCGTGTACAGTATGGTACATACTACACGTTTTTATGTACAACATTTACACCTTGATTAGCAATGCGTATGATCAAGAACTTGTGCACTATTTACAAAATTTTAGTCATTAACTGCCAACGAATCGCTTATATATGTAGCTAAATTATCAATTGTTTGTTCTTAATATGTTGAGCAGGGTTTACGACTGAGTACTATCCATGAATTAAAATAAGCATCAGCCTTAACCAGATAGGAATTTTGTACATAAATGTATGGACTGATTTTGTAATACGTCACCAATCCTACTCGTATATGTGCAACACCGTGTTTACCCGCCCGTATTATGACATACATAATGTACATAGTTATCCAATCAGTCCAGGAAATAAATGTGCACATGCGAAAACTTATGATTGGCAAGGTAGTGTGACCATCCCCATCCAGTTCGGCTGATCACCGACCTGGATGAGGATTGTCCTTGAGAAAAATAATATTCTTAAATATTTAACGAGACGGATTTCTAGCTTGGCCAGCTAAAAATTCACTCAACATTGCGAGATATAGGCAATTGGAGTGGTGAATGTGATAAGAGTGTCGCGTCTCATATCACATTCCTAATTAAATTAAATATCCACTTCCTTTGGAAGTGGAGACCTCATACATATATTGGGATTTTTATCCCAATTCAATCACTTCTTTCTTAGCCTTCAGCTCAAGATTACGTGCCCTAAGCACTTCTCCACATTTTTTTTCAATGTGCCTCCATAGATAATTATTTCACCGTTTCTATAAAAATTTCTAAAATATAAGTTTCTGAAATAAATGCCTTTACAATTCAGTCTAAAAACGGCTCTCCCACACAAAATCGAGTTATTCCACCATAAAAACATGTGAACCGCGAACCTGTTATATCCTAAATACTTGTAAACGTCGATTCAACAACTTCAGGTCTATTGCAGAGGAATTTGTGCATGTCGGCATACACTTACGGTCGTATTCTTAATGACATAAAAATCGCCACTTACACTCAGACTTAGCTGAGTGTGAGTGTGAGTGGCAAATCTCCACTCAGCTCGTTTCGTATTCTTAATGAAAATGAATCTCCACTCAGATTTTGCGAGCTGAGTCGTTGATTTGTGAGCTGAGTTGAGATTTAAATGCGGGATTTTCAATTTCACTCTGCTGGAGAAAGTATTCCGATTCGCATAAATTGCTCACAATAATAATTTTAACAACTTTTAATTATATAATAAATTGGCGCATCAAGCTAAAAACAAATAAAACTTAAAAGTGTCGCAACGAAGTACAACTGAGCCAAGTGACATGTCAAGTTCGGAAGATGAGTCGGATAAAAAGAGCGCAAAATTACCCGCATTTACTACGTTGGAAAAAGAAATTTTGTTGGAAATTCTAAAGAAGCCAGAGGTGAAAGCTGTCGTGGAGAACAAGGCGACAAATGCGGTGTGGACGGCCCAGAAAAACGACGCCTGGGATAAAGTTAGTACTGAGTTCTGTTCGCACATATCTGTAGTGAAACGTTCTGGACCTCAATTGAAAAAGCATGGGAGAACCTGAAAGGTCGTTGTAAAAAGAAGGTTCGTAATTTTTAAAAGTTGTGCAATGTGTTAAGTTATACGGCCCATTAAATTTTGCTGAATTTCCTAGATTTCCAAAAGGAAGAGAGCGAGAACAAAGACCGGAGGAGGCTCCAAAGACAATTCTCTTTCGCCTACCTCTACTAAGGTCGCCGCCATTGTACCAGCACAAATTGTCTCACTTGCCAACAAATATGACGACGACGCTGATTCAGCGGGATCGGGTGTCGAGCTTGGATTTGACGAGTGGTTGCGTCGTACGCTATTTTGTCACAATACATTAATTTGTGTAATTAAATTTGTTTCATATTATTTAGGGCAAAATGCAAAGGAGTCCAACAAGGGAACAATGGCTAACCATGAACAAATTCCGACTGTCGTCCCTTCTGATTGTACCGAGATGAATGAAACATCGTTGGGAGATTCAATTCAGAAAACTAGTGAGTAAATTTCAACACTTTTGCCAGTTTTAAAGTTTTTGTGACCAGTTGTAATTTATCAGTTCAAGAAGTGTGTGATAAGCCCCAGAAGACAAGAATCACAAAACCACAAGATCGAAAGCGCAAACTTCTTGCAGGACACGAAATTATAATTTCAATGGAGGAGTAATTGCAAGCGAAAAAACTGAAATTACTGGATATACAGATTGACAGGGAAGAGCAAAATGTTAAAATGGATGCAGAGTTTCACAAGGCGAGGATGGAGCTAATTCGTATCCAGATTAAAGAATCAAAACAAGACAGTGATATGTAAACATCATTTTCTTTCAAAACAATCTAATTTACTATTCAATTCGATTTTGTTATGTATCAACGAATTATATATATCTCAAAAGATATATAATAAACAAATATATATATCCAATTACAACAAACGTATAACAAATAAATTCTCGTACAATTTATGAAAAATGTGATGTGATAATTCTATTCCTAGCAGCAATTCCTGAAGTTGTCGTTGCAGATTGGTTGGGCAGGTTTCCGTGCACATCGTCTTCGTCATCATCAAATTCCAAATCATCACGGTACAGCAGGGCAATATTATGTAGCACACAGCATGCAACAATTGTGGTCAGCGTCGTTGACAATTTTAGACGCATGTGACGCAGACAATTGAAGCGCTGCTTCAAGACACCAAAGCAGCGTCCGATCGGATTTCTGGTTTTTATTTGACAACTCTGGTATCGCTTTTCCGCTGCAGTTCTTGGCATTGTTAGAGGGGTCATCAGGTACGGGGTGCAACTGTATCCAGAGTCACCGACAAGAATGCCGGGTACTTCGCCTCGCTCCAGTTGTCCGCAAAGTTTTGAATTTTCGAAGATCCGGTTATCGTGACATGAACCGTACCAGCGGGGTACAACATTCGTAATTTTAAGATCGGACGTACACACTGCTTGAACGTTGACGGAGAAACTCCCGTGTCGATCTCGGAAAAGTTCTGCATTTTCTCCACCAACCGATTTGATAGGAACATGAGTGCAGTCAATGGCTAGTTTGGAGACGGTACCTTGTGATAATTTTGCCAAATCGCCGACTTGAATTTGGAAAGTTCCTCCAGCATAAAAACGTAATGCAACAAGTAATTGCAAAATTGGAGGGATTTGCACTCCTCGCTTCAGTGAACTGACAAGTTGATCCTGTATGAGATCAGCAACAAATATAGTGGCATTTTTGCTGAGTCGGCGGGCCTGAAATTGGTGTTCCGAGAGTGATTCCAGTGGATTGGATTTGTCCTTCAATTGCCGGCTCGGGATAACGTTAATATGCTCCAATCGGTCTTCATAATCTTGCAAACGAGAAAGCGACATGTTTTTACCCTGTTGAAAATTTTATGAAATTAATCCAAAAATCCAGAAAAATTTCAGGTATTTATAAATATGATATTAATTAATTTAATTGGTTGAATTTCTTACCTGATGATCCCAGAAAATAGTTTTTGAGGCGTCGTGAATATTTTCCGCATATATAAAATAATTACGTGAAATTTTGTGAAGTCAAACGTCGAAAGTGGACCCCAAAGATAGCTCGGTGCGTAACTAGCGAAATTGAGTGAGACTTTGAAAAATTCGTTGAGTGGAGAAATAAAAAAGTCATTAGGAATATGAAATGTGAAAATTTTCTGAGCTCCACTCATTTCCATGACCCAAAGGTCACTCACCTTTTCTCAAAGTCTCCACTCACGTGAGTGGAGATTATTTTCATTAAGAATATGAAATGCACTGAGCCTAAATGGCCACTCACACTTAGGGTGAAAAAATGTCATTAAGAATATGGCCGTTAATCTAATAATTGAGATTATTATGAGAATGAGGAAAAATAGAACTATTTGGTTATGCATACTTATATTTTTATGGGCTTAGTTTCACATAGACGAAATAAGTACATACATTATAAAACTAAAGATATCGTACATATTATGAAAACTTCATAATGAAATTATATAATCCACGAAAAATTAGGCACGACGCAGACCATAATTTAATTAATTACAATTTTATATGAAAGCCCCGAAATACGTATGCAAAATCTGCTGGGTTCCTAGCCCACCAGATTGCCGAATTATTTATATGAACCTTCCAAACCACAAGTTTAGTACTGTAGAAACAACGCAAAAACCAACTTCATGATGGCAACCCCCGGAATGTGGGGACTTTTAAACCTATTTATCAAACTGTACGGTGATAAGTTATATCTACTTCCTTTCAAAGTTTCCATTTCTAACAAGCAATTCCTCCTTGTTCCCAACCTATCAAAATCAAGACGATATTTAACCATATTCTGTGCCATTTGTACTTTCTGTCATACCCTGTTCTGTTTCGCTGTTTTGTGTAAACCCTTCTTCGTAAAGGACAAACATGAGGATCATTCTCTTCCAGGGATATCTCAAACCCTTAAAATTGTCCGCATCTATGGACAAATACTTGGCGCTTTATACCCTTCCGCATTTCTAGCTATGAATTATGTCCTGGCGTTTACACCAATAATTGCGCAAGTGATTCTTTGTAGCATTGCAGATTTCCAAGAGGAAACTAAAGGTAACCAGATATGACAACTATAAAGAGTGGGCCTAAGAAATTGAGACACGCTCCAATCAGCACCGTGCATGTTCAATGTAATTTTTCATTCAAATTTCACCCATTTACATTGATAATAGCCAACTGTCATTCATTTTCATTCATTTTCAATCTCATTTTTCCAATCTCATTAACTCTCATTCACGTTCCTCAGTAACTCATTTTCATTCACATTCACTCATTTTCATTCACAACCATACATAGTCATTCGCTTTAATTTAGTTCGGCATGCATACATATGTAGATGCATGTGATTTAAGCGCAGTACTGCAAGGGCAGTATATAGTGTCTCGTTGTTCGAGTGAATTGAGTGAGAATGAGAAGTGAGGTGAAATGAGATTTCTCATTCACTCAAATTCATTCACGTATATCAAGGAACGTTTCACTCATTTTCATTAATGTGAGAGTGGCTGAATGTTATTTCATTCATTCTCATTCACTTTAACTCAAACTCATTTTCATTCATTCTCATTCCTTCTCATATGCACAATTAGGAGTGAGAGTGAACATGTATGATCAGCACATTTATATTGATAACCTTTTTGGTAGTTGATCCATTTTCCTCAATTACAATTTTTTGAACTCGGACAATGTTAGCCTAATCACAAAATTTCAAAAAAGTGGAAATAACTTCGGGTTTCCGTCTTACAAAATTTGATGGAGTTATTTCCCAACCAAATCAATTAAATTATTTACGCTAACCGGGGATCTACGAGATAATAATAAAAGTTGACCGACATAAGTTCCGTAGTTTTGAAGTTATTAGATTTTGAAATTCGCATGCAACTGTGTCTCAGTTTCTTTAAGCCAACTCTTTACATAAATACTCAATTTTGTATTCATATGCATACATATCAATTAAACTGTACCAACTTTCAGAACTCAGCGCACCCAAGCTTCGTCATCCCAACTATTTCTTCGTCGAACTAGGAATGAAATTAATGCTTCCATTCTGTTTCTTCGTATCCATCCCATTTGCCCTAACTGCCGTTTACTTACAACTTGACCCACTTTTTGTTCTATCACAACACACGCAAAATATAATTTTACTGTTTTTACTAAGGTGCTTGATACTCGTCATAGTTGCTGTGGAAGCTACAAAAGCTACCAATGCTTTCTTCATCATTGGTCTTATGGTGGTCTGTGCGACAAATGATATTTTAAGAGATCTCACTGAATGTAAAGTTCGCTTCAATTTGGACCTGAGATTCCAGGAGAGTCACCTCTACATAAAACTGTTTCTCTGGAATAAGTACACGAATCAAAATTTCTGCACGTTTTCTGTCCCACCATTAATATTTTTTGGTTTTTCCGTCGTTGTTTTGTCATACTATGGTACAATCAGAATGTTTGGCAAGGCTAGTTTCCTAGTTTACCTTATAATTCCAAGTTTGGGGATATTATCAACTTTATTCGTTATAATGTTGATCCCACATGGAACTAGGGTTTTGGAGTTATCAGAAATCTTCATTTTGAGTCGAATCAATGCGACAGAGGTATCGAAATTTGAGCGAAAAATGTGGAAATCTCGAAGACCTTTAGGCACCCAGGTGGATTCTTTTGGACATGCGGGAAAATCTTTGAAAATATTAGCGTTTAAGTATATTGCTGAAAGTACGATTAATTTACTGCTCACATTCTAGTATACTTAAGGCTATGTGAATATGTATGTATTTGCTAGGGTGTGCGAGGGCAAAACGGAAGGACAGGTCGCTTTTTGCATGAGTTGTATAAATAATTACTTAAATTTGACTTGTTGCTGGATTGATCGCTTTTTCTCTAATTCAGTAGGTGGACTCATTGATCGAAAAGAAGCTCACGGGCTTATAAACTGAACAATATTACCAGGAAAAGATGCAGAAGGAATAGAAAAGATAACTATTTAGAGTGATCAAATATGCCAGTTAATGCTACAAGTAACTAGTTAAGTTGTCCACCTAAATGTCTTGTTGGATAGCTCCGTTGTTTTCATTAATGACAAATATTGCTATTTTAACCCTTTGAAGCGGAAGGACATGTAATGCCATTGTATTAACGTGAATCTCTGAATATCATATAATGAATGAATAGAATTGAAATCTAAATGATAGCTTCTAAAATAACATATTGTTTCGATTTTATTACATGCATGAAAATGGACCAGTGATTGAATTGTGTAGCTTATACTTATACAAGTGAATAAATTTAGGTGTGTATTTATTAGCCTTTATCCATGCACGCTAGAGATCCTTTCTACAACAGAGGTACAACAGGACCGAATATTTTTTGCGATGATTTTGCGATTTGGCCACATAGCTATTTTTAACTGTTTAATGTGGATATGTAAAACTATGAAGGCTCCTTAATTGAGGAATTTGTGTCCAAGAACAGAATTTCTACCGTGAAAAATATAACATAAAATTGACCTGTAAGCCCATAAATGTGCAAGCCAACCTTAACGTCTCCTTCCTTCGGCTCTACTTAAAAAGAAACAAATAATTCCTTACTCTATTTCGAATCGAGGCCATCATGAATAACTGACATTTACCGGATATGTACAAAAAATATGATGCGCATCTAATTCTTAATGGATCTGCTATTCTACAAATACATATATATTTTCATAAGAATACAATTCAATATTTCCGTTGTGGCATTTGAATTCCAAATCTAGCTAATAAATAATTCAAAAATGTCGCGAATACATATCAAGTTTACTCTTTTTGCAATTCTACATACAGTGCTCCAAGAAACCATAAAGCCGGCCTTGCATTTTGCAAAAAACCACTATACTGTAAATATTCCCAATTTTTTTTATATAATATTATACATTATGGTAACACGAGATTATATGCAAAAATTTATTATTCTCTTTTAAGTATCAGCTGAGTTTTCGAAAGAAATGTAAAAACATGGGTCAAAAACTTGCCAAGAAACCATAAAGCCACTTCCGAAAAAATGCAAAACATTAAAAATACTTGCAAATTCCATGAGAAATCAACATTTATTATAATTCTTAGTACTTTGTGAGTCCACCACGACAAAAAATGACATCAGCTATTTTTCTTGGCATTGAACCGACAAGTTTTGTAAATAATCTTGCTCTACCTCGGACCAAGCCTCGAGAATACATTTTTTAAGATCACGTATATTTTTAAATTGTTTGCCATTAGCATATACTTTACGTGCGAGCACCTCCAAACGTTTCCAATCGGATTTAGGGCAGGGGAATGTGGTGGCCAGTCAAAAATATTCATTTTTTGATCCTTGAACCACGTCTTCATGAGGGTTGGAGTGTGTATGGCGGCATTATCTTGCATAAAAGTATATGTTGAACCACCAGTTCTTCACCAAACTGGAATTAGATGAGTTTCCAACATGTTTTTGTAATGTACTGCCGTGCTGTTTGGAGAAACAAAGCCAATTTCCGATATGCCTTTGGACGAGAAAGCAGCCCAAATCATGACATTTCCGGTTCGTCTTTAGCGATGAGAAAAAATTTAATTTGGACGGACCTGATGGGTTTCGACATTACTGGAATGATCTGCGTAAGGAAGAACATATTTTTTCCAAGCGACACTCTGGGACTGGAACTGTCATGATTTGGGCTGCTTTCTCGTCCAAAGGCATATCGGAAATTGGCTTTGTTTCTCCAAACAGCACGGCAGTACATTACAAAAACATGTTGGAAACTCATCTAATTCCAGTTTGGTGAAGAACTGGTGGTTCAACATATACTTTTATGCAAGATAATG